CAAGAGGATGGACGGCCCTCTACGGCCTATGAGGAATCAGAAGCGGACCTCGAGGCACATGTTATGGAGGCTCGGTACTCAGAGCTACATGAAGAAAGGGAACACTTGGAGGCAACTCCAGTAGATGACCTTTACATTGTACCCACACATACCTGTGTGTGCGAAATAAACGACCGTGGCACGCGGAGCGCGCCAGATGGTTCACAGTTGCCTCCACATGACAACCAGATCATCGCACAGCCATCGCACGCACGACATCGTTCGGTTCACGGTTGCCTCCGCATCACAACCATATCATCGCACAGCAATCGCACGCACGACATCGTTCGATTCACATGCCAACATCATCGCATCACAGCCTTTGCACGCGCATCTTGGCAAGGAAGATGGTTTGAAGTCTCCCTCACCGCGGCTGGCAAAACATATCACAGCCTCTGCACGCACGTCTTCGCGAGGGAGATGTTTTCATGTCTGCCTCGCTGGGCCTGCCCGAATCATATCACAGCCTGTGCACGCAAGGTCTCGCAAAGAAGATGTGGTCGCTTCTTTGTCGCCGGGCCTATCCTTCCCCCTCCCTCGCCCGCCGCCCCACCCTCCCATCCTCCAGCCCCCAATTCAAAATCGCCCGCCCTCGTCCGCAATCCTCCCGCCGGAGGCCTCCAGCACTAGTCCCCAGACGCCTCCGCTCGAATTTGATATCCTCCGCTCTCGTCCGCACTCCTCCCGGAAGCCTCTGGGAGGCAGTCCAGAGGCCTCCGCTGGAATTTGACGCCCTCCGCATTCGTCCGCACTCCGCCCGAAAGCCTCCGGAGGCACTCCCCAGAGGCCTCCGCTTGAACTCGAAATCCTCCGCATTCGTCCGCACTCCTCCTGGAGGCCTCTGGAGGTGCTCCCCAGAGGCCTCCGCTCGAATTTGAAATCCTCCGCAGTTGTCCGCACTCCGCCTGAAAGCCTCTGGAGATACTCCCCAGAGGCACTCCTTCGCACTCCATTTGAAAATCATCCTCGTTCCTTCTCCTCGTCGCCCCTCCTCCTCCTCCATCCCCCTCATTCCTCCTTTTCCTCCCTCCTCCCTCCCTTCCTCCTTCCTTCCCTTCCCCCCCTTCCCCTCCGAAGTGCAGAGTTGTTCCTCCTTCCTCCTCCTCCTCCTCCTCCTCCTCCTCCTCCTCTTCGTCCTCCTCCTCCTGATTCCTCATTCCTCATTCCTCATTCCTCATTCCTCATTCCTCATTCCTCCTCCTCCCCTTCACCCTCCTCTTCCTCCCCCCTCCTCCCCCACTGCCTCCCTCCCCCCTTCCCTCCCCCTTCCCTCCCCCTTTCCCTCCCCCCCTCCCCCCCGAAGTGCAAAGCTGTCCTCCTCCCTCCTCGTCCTCCTCCTCCTCCTGCCTCCTCCACCTTCCCTCCCTCCCTCCCTCTTTCCCTCCCCCCCCCTCCCCCCCGAAGTGCAAAGCTGACTCGTGGGCCGGGCAGGTCGGCGCTTCCGCCTCCACCCAGCTTTGCTCCACGGGGGGGGGCGAACGCGATTTTTGGGCTGTAACAGATGAATGCGAACATGTGGCCCCACGTGCGGGCGAATCTCATGGGACCGAGAATGTGGCCTCACGCGCGGGCGAAGATAATGGAAACGAAACAGTGGCCTCATGGGGCCGAGAATGTGGCCTCACGCGCGGGCGAAGATAATGGAAACGACGCAGTGGCCTCACGCGCGGGCGAAGATAATGGACACTCCGCCGTTCCAGGAGGGCCCTGTTTGAGCGTAGGGCGAAGATAATAGAAACGATGCAGTGGCCTCACTCGCGGGCGAAGATAATGGACACTCCGCCGTTCCAGGAGGACCCTGTTTGAGCGTATTCTGGCCCCGCGCCCGTTTCGCGGCACACCCCTCACACGTTTCGTACGACACGCACGATCATTACTTCTAATGCAGAACGCCATTACCTCATCCTATCGACGGATGGTCGTTTTTTTTTACGCACGCCCCGGCATGGTCTTTGACAACGTTGCGATGGCCACGGTAGCTGAAGAACAGCGGAGGCGCTCGCCTCCGCGGGGTCGCCCACGCGACTCCGACATTGAGGGCGCGCATCATGTCTCACTATGCTCCACGGACGAAGACCACTGTTACGGATTGGACTCGGGCGAAAACGGTCAATACATAGAACTCTGCTTTACTGCGGACATGTCAAAGGTGGTCCTATCCGAACAACAGCATAGGATATTAGACGTCGACCGCGTGATGTCGCTGCCGCCGCAAAACGAGACGCGGTCGCCAAGGAGGGCGATTTCTTCACGAAAGCCGACTCTCAGGCGAACCCAGCTCAGGTATCGAAGGCCCGATATACTGAGCTCAAGACACGGTTTGACAACAAGTGTTTCAAGGTGCAAGATGCATCTAAATCGTCAAACATCACGACGTCTAGGTACGCATATAAGTGGAAGTTCGTAAAGAACGAGGGGCGAGATGGAGCGCACCGTCAGACTACTCCTGGTACTTCGGGGTTCCATGGACCTCGACGCTTTCGACGTGGAAACGCCGTCAGGAACAGCGCGGCGGTCAAGCCAGAGAAAACTCGCAAGCACGGCAGCGCGCAAGAAGCAGTGGATCCTTGATTCCCTCGACAGCAACATGGCTGTCCTGAAAGGGTCTACCTACCAGGCACTTGCTTAGGCAAACGGTGACAAGGAACGCGCGGTGTGCTTATCTTACCGCCTGGACCAGCACTGGCGCTTCTATCCATCCCAGGATTCGAGCACTACGATGAGTCGAGGCACTGCTTGCAGCGCCTCAAGCCAAGCACTGGCACCAAGAATGCACCCAGATCCTTCTCACTGAAGCTCAGAAAGACTACGAGAGGCTTTGCTCTCAGACCCACGCCCAACGACGAGGAGTTCGAGACAAGCAGTAACCTGATCACAGCCAAACACGTTGATTATATCAATATGGCCGGCACTGAGGACGCCATCGACAAGTGCGTCAAGTGCGTTGAGGACACTTCTGGCAAGTGTAAACTTACCAAACACACATGCGCCAATTGTGTTGCGAGATGCACAATGGATGGGGGCGGCAGTGTTTCACTCGACCAAGATGAATACATCAAACAGCTCCGTCCTATACAACATCCTGAATTCATGGGCGCAGACGCCGACGCCAAATAATCAAAAATGATCGCTGACATGTTCGCCAGCCTCAGGGGCGCGTTGCCTTACGCTTAAGTCACACCAGCGTGGTTGATGGTATATGTGGTCTCTCTGCAACGTGTCCAAGATGCGACCGATCTACAAGTGCGACGACTGAGCGCGATTACTATGAAGCTGCAGGTCTGTCTTAAGAAGATCGCCTAGCGATCGATGACTGCAACAGGCGAACCTGGCCTGCATAGCGACTCCGGCTATCGACGCCCGAGTGGAGTTGCCGATGACGTGGTCAAGGGCTGCGGCTACGGTATTCGCGGGGCAAACCTGTTACGGCGTGGAATCTGGTAAGCCTGCCCTCCATTTGATCGATGCACATTGCAAGTCTCATCGATTGCAGGTCCGTTCAAGCTACTAAGCAGAAACACTAGCAGCAGCCCGCGACTTGGAGGACTGCTATCCCACGTTCGCTAATCTGAACGAACTCCACGCAGGGCCATTGACACCTACTCAGTTGAAGGATCAACTGGAGATGGTGGCCTGAGCATTGAGGTCACTTTGACTATAGATGCTGAATCTGTCTTCGCGTCCTTGTCAGGCAAAGACCTGAAGAATCCGACTGCATGTGCGACAGATGATGGAGCGAGGAATCGTGCACAGTACCCAGTGGTGTGACACTCCCGATATGACCGCGGACGGTCACACAAAGGGGACCATTGACAGAAATGTGCTCGTACAGGTCATGGGAGGAAAGCAATCCTTCAAACATGGCTTAAGACGTCATGCTCCGTACCAGGCCGGCCATACAACATCGTCTGAGGCCGCCTGAGTAACACTCGTTTATACAGCGAGCTGCTCGCAAGGTATGTAACTTGCGCGCAAGGGCACTTGCTTGCGGGTTCACCTCCCTTTAAAACCATGTTTCGCTGCTTCCTGTATAGATAGTGTTTGTTGTATAGGGGCGGCGGACTCACGCTTCGCCCCCCTCCGCCCCGACTCCAAAGTGAGCTGGGACAAGGGCGAGAGATAGCGAGCGTTTGTCCGTGGCCGCTTGGGGTCAAGCTGCCGGCCGCCAACATATGAATGCGCTTCATCGCGACGCATACTGCTTGACATCGAGACCGAAAACATCCTTCGCTTGAGGTGGCCCGTCGCTCCCGCGACGACCTCCTCCGACTGGGACTATCGTTCGTACGGCACAACAGAGCTGCAGCTGCGCTTCGCCTAAGGCGAAGCTTTTGGTCGGGCCTCCCGGCCTCCTTCAAACCGGCACAATGCGGTTGGCATTTCGGACCGTCTTGTGGGTCCTCTCGAGGCCCTCTTGGGCCATTTCGGGGGCCTCTTGGGCCGTCTTGGGCCGTCTGGCGGCGCTCTGGGGCCGTCACGGGGCTCTTTTTGACCGTTAATGGGGTAATCCTGCCGTTTTGGGGCCTTCGGACATTAGGAAAAGCCACGCGGGACGCCCTGGGAGCCATGCGTAGCGCCCCCAGGTGATCCTGCAATTGGGGTCCCTTCAGGTGCATGCTGGGTACCCAGTACCCGATGCAGAAAGAAAGGAGGAGAGGCAGCCACACGCGGGATGTCCAGGCCATGCCTGGGTCAGCACCACCTTGTACCCACACGCTGTTTCTCTATTGCTCCCAGAGCGGGATCCCTTTTTCCCGTGTCGATCGCCTTCCTCCGCAGTTCAAGTTGTCAGTGCCCTGGTGTTGCGGGGGTGCGAGCAGGCGTGCGGAGGGACGAGGAGTAAGGGGACGGGGCGGGGGGGGGGGATGAAGGAAGGTGCGAGGACGAAAATGGGGAGTAGGGAGGGGCCAGCAGAAACGGTAAGCAGTGGGAGCAAGAGAGGGATTGAGCCCACCGCGCAGGGTCTGGACCCGCTGGGGTCGGACGTTCATGCGGATGGGAGCTCCGCCGCCGCTCTGCAGAAGCCCAAGGTGCCCACGGGAGACCAAATCATCCCTTTCCGGAGTCGGAAGAGGGAGAGGAGGAGAGAGGGAGGAGGAGGAGGAGGAGGAGGAGGAGGAGGAGGAGGAGGAGGAGGAGGAGGAGGAGGAGGAGGAGGAGGAGGAGGAGGAGGGGAGGAGGAGGAGGAGGAGGAGGAGGAGGAGGAGGAGGAGGAGGAGGAGGAGGAGGAGGAGGAGGAGGAGGAGGAGGAGGAGGAGGAGGAGGAGGAGGAGGAGGAGGAGGAGGAGGGAGGAGGAGGGAGGGGAGGAGGAGGAGGAAGAGGGGGAGGGACGAGTTCTTCGTGCCGGCATGCCGCTGAGTTCGTCAGAGCACAGGGCGGCGTCGAGAGCCGACCGCCCAACCACGATCAGAGCGGCCAGGGACCTTGCTGGAAACACACACTTGAGGATTTCGGGTGGCTCCTCGGACAGACGGCAGTCCGAGGTTCCAGTGCTTGCGGGAACCTCGAAGGACTCTGCGACATTCTAAGCCCAACCGTAGCCACATCATTGTTTCTTCCGGAGGCACACGGTCAATACATTTGGATGAGGAGAAGAAGGAAAAGTAATAGGAAACGAAGATTAGGAGCAGGAGGAGGAGGGGGAGGAGGACGAGGACGAGGAGGATAATGAAAAGGAGTGAGGAGGATAGGAACAAAGAGGCAAGAGGAGGGAGGATGGGGGAGAGTAGAGAGCCATGAAGCCAGGAAAGGAGGGGTGGAGGGCACAGGGCTGTGGGAGGATGGGGAGGAGGAGGAGGAAGAGGAGGAGGAGGAAGATAAGGAGAACGGCAATTTGATCGATGAAGAAGTTTGAGTGAGGAATAGCGATGAAACAGGCGGGAGGATAAGGGGGTAACCAGTCAATGCTCCCCTTCCGCACCACCATCCTTTCGCCCTGTCTGCTCCTTTGCCTTGCGCGCAGTGCCCGACGTACTGACTGCTTCTGCTTCCGCAGCTATACCACTTTGGCTCTAGGGAAGCGGAAAAAGAGCGAAACTGCGGCGCGCGCGTGCGTCGGCCGGCGGGCCGGCCTCCTCCCTTCAGTGTGACCTTAGTGTATGTTTGACGGCATTATCCTTTCTTCCCCATGTCATCGGCGGAGCCCACTGACCATGATATACAATCGGAACAAACTGCAGGGATTATGAATATCCAGGCAAAAGAGTGGTTATCGGCCGAAACGGCGGCACAGCCGCTAGCTTCGCAGAGCGTGGGATCACAAGAAGGAGCGCTCGGCCTACATAATATCGATACCCTTTCGAGCACAATGAAATTGCAGGTGCGTCAACGAGGCGACCACATTCTTTCAACCTTCCCAAGAAGCAAGCGTCAGAGACTGCGTTCGCTTTGACAGAAGGGGAGTCATCGGTTGATTCGGCGACAAGGTCCAGAGCGCAGTCCCAGGGCGAAAGGCATGGCGCAGCTAAAACTTCCGCCGAGCGACCATTTGAGTTAGCGTCAGTGCACCCGGGCTTTCAGCCATCGATCGACCTAGATCTTGAGATGGAGAAGTTGTTGGATCACGTCCCCATAGGAGTGTCGGGCGCCGAAAGTCTAGGCGCGGGACACGCGGTGCAGTTCTCGCTGCGTGGACAAAGCGAGGACGTGAGCGTTTTGCAATCGGAAGGGGGTAGTTATCATTCGATTGAACAGATCGAAGAAGATGCCCGATTCCACGCCTCGCCTGGTCCATCGCATCATCTCGATCCTCCCCGATCGGCGTGTCGGGCTCGCCTCAGGCTCAGACCCGTTAGTAAGTGCGACGACTGACCGTGTAACAGTTGAGGCCAGTCAGAAGGCCATTCTTGATTCGGATGACGATCTCGAAGACGGAGAAAGCCCAGACCGAGGTGCAAGCTCGTCGGCGCAGCCGATGTCGAGCTACCCCGACGCCATGCGTGCAATGAGGACTACGCGAGAAACTGCAGGCATGACTCCCCATCCATTGACGAAGACGCCGAAGGGTGAGAACGATGACTTAAATACTTCGCCCTTATTGCAGGGTTCTACCGACCAGACTTCTCATTGCCGAGGACTAACAGGGACAGAGTACCAGAATTTGATGAGCTCGCAATACAGACAGGGCGTAGGCGTTGATTTCATCAAGAGGGGTGCGAGAACAACGCCCGCCTACCCCCAGCAATGAAAGGAGGCGTTCCAGTAAGGCCCCCCAGGGCCGGACGTTCCAGTTCCAGGGGGTTTAATGCCGTTGAGTCGCCGCGGATGTCATCGAATAGAACCACCGGCAGCTTCTCGGCGCGGGGGGGCCATTGGAACGCCGGGCCCACATGCCCAACTCGGGCGCAGAATCGATGCCCAGGGGAAGCGCACAAACCGGGGGGTACATGTAGAGGGCCAGTGCGTTCTCAATGTTCGAATGTTTGCCCCAGGTGTAGTCCGGCATGGCCTTGCGAGGAGTGCGTCACGATGGAAGAGCACAACTGCCATCATATCGCAAGTCAAGAGTGGGCGGAAAGAACATGACATTGACAGGATCGACAACAGTTGAGGACTGCGAGTGCACATGTACAACAGATCATCCTTGAGGCGCAGGAAGATAAGAAGGCCGCCGAAGAGGCTAGACGAATGCTTGCAGTTTCCGAGGCAGAAAGGCAGACAATGGCACAACATATGGAACATTATAAAACCGCCACTGCGGAACATGCGCAGAAACAGATACAGCATGTTGAGGCTAGCGTAGCAGGAGTTACAGACGAAGCCCAACGGCGCCTTGCCCAAGAGGAGAATGAAATATTGAGAATCCAGAGCATAGCCGAACAACTGGTGTCAGACCCCCAGCAGAAGGCTGAGAAGGAGAAAGCTGAATACAGAGAATGGCCGATGCAGCCAGGAGGGAACGAGAGAAAGGAGCCCGAGAACAAGCAGCGCGAGAAAATCAGGAGCTCCGCAATCAACTTGACGCCGCTAGACTCGAGGCCGCAAGAGTAAAATCGGAAGCCCCGCGACCCCTTCGAGAACAAGAACAGGAAGCCCAGGTGGCCAGAGATGAAGACCAGAAAAGAATGGCCGTTGCCTGGGGTCGTCTGAAGGAGCACGCAGATTAACACATAAGAAACAATGTTCTTGCCACCTGGGCCGCGAGCGGGGAAAGCAGGAGGTTAAGGTCTGATCTGGAGAAACACCGGGCGGGCAAAGGACCGGGGGAAAAGGTTCGGTTAACCGGGCAAAGCGCGACAGAATCTGCGCCAAAAGTACGACCCATGGCGACGGCCTCGCCGGCTGAAGAGGACCCCAGGGAGAAGGTCGAATCAACGCCGGCACAGCCGGCGCGCGTTGAGCCGCCCCCTCATCCGATCGCTGTTCGCCCCATTAGGAAGCCCGGCGCCTCGCAAGCTCAAACGCCAACGGGCGCTCCGAGTCAGATCTGCCACCTCTGCGCAGAACCTTCAACCGAAGTACGCAAGGGGTGTTCGAAGCGCGCGCGCAGGGATCACCTGGATATGGGCACCAAGCGTTGCGATGAATGCGCTTGGAGGAAAGCGCATGGACAACGGGATGATCGCGGGGAAAAGGAAGAACCCCGAGGCATACCTGATACTCAGCGGGCAAAGAACGATCCCGATGAAAAGGCACCGAGATACTCGGCTTCGCCTAAGGATGTCGAGCCCGAACGCCAGATGAGCAATCTTGCCGATATTATGGGCGTGCCAGCATCTAATTCAGAAAAGTCGGATCTTGGCAAGATGCCGATGCTGGCCGCCCCGCCCATGCCAACGCTTCCTCTCGCAAAATCGCACGTCATTCTTGGACCTGCTGTCGAGAGAAACCCTTGGACCGAGCGAAGGCTCGATGCGGGGGTGCGCCCAAGGAACAAACCCTTGGAATGCCCCTTTCACTACCAGGATATCAGAGCCCCCATAACAGCCTCGACTTGCCTGGGCGCCTTCCTTTCACCATCGGCCCAGCCGTCGCTGGCGAAGGAGGTGGGGGCTCGGGGGGCCATGGCGCCCCAGCACAGGCACGATCGCTGCGACGCAGTTTGATGAGACGGGCAAGCCCAAGCCACCTGGAGACCTTCCAGGGGCACCTGGTGGCGACGGCGATCCAGACGGAGACGGCGGCGGAGGGCCGAATGGCCACAATGGCCCGTCCTGGCGGCCGTCTCACGCTAATCAAACTGACGTGCATTGGACGAATTTGGGAACAACAAAGAACTGAACTTGCTTGACATACCGAGCGTCCAGACACTCCGAGCATGGAAGCAGCATTGCATAAGATCGGCAGCTGGATCATGGCATGATGTTCGCGCGGCACCGGCATGGGTCACGGAAGCCATGGAACCTACTGTACCCAAGGAAAACCTTAGAGGCTCCGGGGCATTGACGCGCCTTGATACGATGATCGCTACAAATATGCTTGAGAAGTTTGCAAAGATGAAGCGTAATCAACGCCCGTCGGTGCAGCAAATTATTTTTTTGCAAATCGCATGGGGCATTCGTGCTAGATAGAGGGACATCCCCTAGCGGGCCAGGAAATGATGCGAGCAATATGCGTTTGGTGTTCTGTTTGATCGGAGAGCGGACAGCATTGGATATGCCGTGACCTCTTCAAACTGACCATCGATCGACCGAAGCCCAACCAGGATTTGTGCCATTTCTGTAGTGAATGGATGGAGCGGTACCAAGAATTGCACGGTGCCAGGGGACCGTCGGCTGAAATGAAGGCTTCAATACATGCACATTTCTTCGAACAGATTAGACATGTCCCGAGGCTTGAGTACGCCTTGCAGTGGCATGAACTGTCGACAGACCCCTCAGGCACGGGGATGCGAACATATCAATGACTCTTGCTCCAGGTAGAATATCTCATGATGCGGGACAGAGAAGAACAATGGGCAATCTCTGAACATGAATCGACCCTCAATTCTAGAAATAGGCAGGCCCGCCTGACAGGTGGGACGAACGAGGGCGGCGGGGACGGACGAAGAGCCTCTGCCATGGCGGCGACGGCCCATCGATTAGGATTGCC